GTTCAAGCAGTAGCCTGGCTCCCTTGATTCATTGCAGTAGCTTCTGAATGCCTAGATCATAAACTCTTAGAAGGACTTCCCTAGGTGGCCCTGTATGAGCAGGATGCCCTGGGACCATCTTTAAAAAAAAGTATTTCAAAGGAACTTATTATTCTGCACCTTTGGACCTGCAATTGGTGGGATCTGGCCAGTTCCTGAGATGCCTTCAAGCTGCCTTTCCTATTGCCCTGAGGCAAAGTACTTGGATTTTTTTTGGCCTCAATTTTGTAGGCACTTCCTTTCTGGTGAAACTGAAAAGTTTTCATCTTTTCAAGTGTACTTTTTCTTTCTAATGCTCATTATAAATCTTCTTAAATCATCCAGAAGTACTCATGCCATAGCCTGGATATTGGATTGCCTTGAAATTTCCTCTGCCAGATCAATTAGTCCACTGCCCTTAATTTCAGTCTCCCACAGAGGCTCAGGACATGGTCAAAATGTAGACAAATTTTCTGCCACAGCATAATACACATGCCCTCCAGTCCAATTGCCAATGGAGTCCTCATTCCCAACTGAAACCTTCTGAGCCTGGCCTGTACTGTCACCATTGATGTCAGCATCAAGGTGTTTTGAGCTCCTACCAGATCATCCACCAGGCCCCACTTACAGCATTCTAAGGCTTCTCTAGCTCATATCTATAAAGTTTTCTAACTTATTCCCAGAAACTAGTTCTAAATAAACCACATGTCAGGTTAGTCACAGCAATGAACCATTCTGAGTAAAAACTTTCTGTATTGTGTTTTCCATTGCTGGAAAAAATACCCGACTCCCATTACTTGAAGACTGGTTTAACTTGGCTCACAGTTTAGGTGTTTAAGTCCATCCCCAGCAGGCTGCAACACAGAAATGGCATGGTGGAAGGGCATGGTGAACAAGAGCTGCTTGCCTCATGACAGCCAGAAGGTAGAGAGTGAATAAGAAGGGTTGAGCAAAGGAGAAGAATAAATCCTTTCAGGTCTTGCCCACAGGGAATCATCCCTCCATCCCATCCTTCCTAACAGCATATAAACTACTGAACTCACTGGTTAATGAATGAACCCCACGATGAGCATAACACTTGCATGATCATTAATAATCACTTTCTAATCAAAAGAGAATCTGGGGGACATTTTAGACATAAACAGTTATAATTACTAACAATAATTAAGCCACCACCAAATTATTGTGAATATTTATAAGAAATCCTATATTTTTGTTACATAATTGAATATATTTAGAATGAATGAAAGACTAGTATCGTATGTGGTTTCTACTTGGATTTTGAGCTTACATATGTTTACTTCCACATTATATTTAGTAACTAAATATTCTTAAAGTCTTCCTTTTCTGTTCCTATCATGTTTCTTGGGCAGATTTAAAAATAAACATTTATCTTAATTTTAAAATGTAAATGAAATGAGAATTAATAAATTATACAGCCTTTATTCAATGGACTACTTTACAGTCATGAAAATGATGTAGTCATTCAATGATTTAAAAAATGAATCAACATACATCAAAATGCATACATTTCAAAAATGAGTTTGCATAACAATACTTACAATATACACCACTATGTAAAATTAAAACATTATAGATGCAGATTAATATAGGGAAACCATAAAAATATACTAACACCTCAGAGCATAAAGGCTTCTGCAAAATTTTGTTTGTGTTTTTGAACTCTGCATCAGGTGACAAACCCAACTGTCATCATTTTCCCTGCATGTACACAAATGCAGCCATCTTCCCTGCTGTGACACATGGCTGTGGCTTCTTCTACTCCAGATTGTGGTCACAGACCTGTGCACACTGGCTGTGAAGCTTTTTTGTGTGCTTTTTACCACATACAATTCTGTACAGTATTATTCAATCCAGCCTGGCTCTAAAGAAAGTGTGGAGCAAGCATGGTGATAAAAAAGTGCAGAGCAGCAATGAAAGTAACAAGAATGTGAAGAGCAATAGTGAAGGTAACAAGAAAATGCACAGCAAGAATGATAAGAAAAAGATCTTGAAGAAAATAGCCATTGAATTGAAGAAGGAAATTGTAGAAAAGGTATTCATGTGACTGATCTGGCCTCAAAGTACAAGATGGTGAAGTCAATAATCTCCACTATTTTGAAGAATAAAGTGCCATCAAAGGAGCTGATGTGGCCAAAGGAGTAGTGATGTTAACCAAGAAGAGGACACAAATGCTGGAAGAGGTGGAAAAACTTTTGTTAGTGTAGTTGAATGGGAAACAGCTGTCAGGTGATAGTGTTAGTGAAGCTATGATCTGTGAAAAAGCCAGGAAACTACACAATGATTTACTACAGGAAAATCTCTCTACAAGAGTAACAAGTGATGAATTTAAAACCAGTAGAGGGTGATTTGATAATGTCTGCTAGGTAAGTGGGGTCCACAGTGTGATGAGACATGGTGAGGCTTCCAGTTCGGACAAGGCCACTGCACAAGCCAATGAGAAAGAATTCATAGAATTCATGAAGGTAGAAGGATAAGTTGCTCAACAAGTGTTCAACTGTAATGAAACAGGGCTTTTCTGGAAGAAAATGCTGAACAGAATCCATATCACACAGGAGTAAAAGACTCTGTGAGGCACAAGCCCATGAAGGACAGATTGACCCTTTTGCTGTGTGCAAATGCAAGTGCCAACCTGAAGATTAAGCCACTACTGATGTAGCACTCCCAGACCCCTTGTGCATTCAAGGAACAGAATAAGAACAAGGCCAGACCGCCTGTCATGTGGAAGGCCAATGTGAAAGCTTGGCTCACAAGACAACTGTTTATGGAATGACTGCATTAAGAAATACCTTTGTGAGAACCAACTGACTCAAAGGTGCCTTCTTCTGATGGACAGTACCTCAGCACACCCCCAGCCTTGGTGGATGATATAGATGCTGAGTATTATTTCAAAAATCTCAAGTCCCCTCCCCAACATGACACCTCTTATGCACCCCATGGACCAGCAATTGATGGGCAACTTCAAGAAGTTATACATGCAGTGCTCTTCACCAAGTGTTTCAACATCACCAAAGAGGCACTGAAAGAATTCTAGAAGAAACCCTTCAATATCCCTCACTGTATCAAACTCCTTGACAAAAAAGCCTGGGAAGATGTCACATACTGGATCTTAAACTCAGCCTGGAGGAAACTGTGGCCACAATGTGTCATTTATGTGACTGAACGGTCTGATGCACAGGTAGTGGAGGAGATTGTGTTAACCGGCAAGTGTATGGGTTTGAATATTGATTGTGCAGACATAGAGGAGCTTGTTGAGGATCATAAGGAAGAGTTGACAGTGGAAGAACTTGCTGAACTCCAGAGTGAGCACCAGAAGGCAAGCACTAGGGAGCATTCCAGTGAGGAAGAGGAAGACAGGGAGGAGGTTATCAGTGATACGATAAAATCCACCATGAAAAAATGGGATGAATGCTGGGATTTTATTGAGCAGCACCACCCCAGCATAAACTATAATGAACAGAGTGTTGAATCTGAAGAACAATAAGGTGGTATCTCATTTCCAGAGGATTGTGCAGCACAGGAAATAATAAGTGACATGAGACAGATTTTTTCATCAAAACTGACCATGCAGCTAAGTGACAAAGAAGAAAGGAAACCCCTGAAGGAAATCTCCCTCCAAACAATAACCTTCTCCCCACCCACCTTCCTGTCTTCCACAACAGAAGTCACCTCAAGCAAGTTAGTGTTCTCTCTCTTCATACTGTACTGTAGTTTGTTTCATTTTTTAGTGATTAAAAATACATATGTTTCAGAGTGGACTAATATTATTTACATTGAACCTTATGGAGAAATTTGATTAGGTACATGATAAATTTGGTTCTTGACCACTATTACACAATGAATTAAATTCATGAACCGAGGTACCACTGTATGAACAAGAGGGATTTATAGCAACTTCTGAATGTCCAAGGAAAGATGAAGAATAGGATTGAATATATCAGCCAAGAGCATTTCAACCGTAACTGTGATGTTTGATTTCTTTAAAAAAATTTGATAGAAATATGACAAATAGTTACCCTTTAACATTTGTTAAATTTGGATATGAATAACACAGAACTATATTGTTTTTCTCAGTCTTTACATGTTTAAAATTTTTTAAAAATTAGACTTAAGCTTTTTGAAACCTCAAACCTGGCTTTTCAGAGGAGCTGTTCCAAAAGCACAAGCTATACTGTGTGCATCAGGCTTGCTAATGTCCTATTGGCCAAAGCACGTTTCATGGTCAAGCACACAGATAACATGTTGAGGAACAGACAAGAATATGAAGAAGAAATAGTTCATTGATTAACAGGCAATCACAGCCCCGCAGAGCTAGCAGTCTACTGAGCACACCGTGTAGAAGTTAACTTTAAGTTAACCTTAAGGTCATGAGCTCTGAGACCAAACTACTTGTGTTAAAATCCTGCATAATGCTTTAGGTTTCTCATAAGAGAAAAGGTCATATTTAACTTTCTGAGATTATGGGGAACTAGAAGGTAGACTCTTGAACATGGGTAAGGGAATGGGGGAAGATAGAGTGGGCAAAGTGGCACAAAATGACTAGGATATGTTATATGAATGTACTAAGTCCCCAAAAGAAACATCACTATTATGTATTACAAACACACACTAATAAAATCCTGTGTAATAATGGAAAAGATCTCTACCTTTTCTAAATCCATTTCCTCATCATTTAATAGAGGAAAAAGTGACAGCCCATGCAAACCATAAGAACAAAGCCTAGAGTGTGAATTGGTCATATTCAATATATTCCAGTTATACACTTCACTTACTCAAATTTTCAGTTAGAATGTATCTCTATATCACAAATGAAAATGCATGCCTCTCTACCAGCCATAGTACCTTTCCATGCTTTTAGGGGAAGGTGGGTAGGAGGTCCTAAACTACTTCCTTAAGTTTGATTCACATCTTTGTCAGGAGTTAGAAGGCAGTGCCTCACTGATATTTGCCTTTGCTTACAGATTCCGGTGTGTGGTCTACCCTTTTAAACCAAAGCTCACTATCAAGACAGCCTCTGTCGTTGTTGTGATCATCTGGGTCCTGGCCATCACCATCATGTCACCATCTGCAGCAATGTTACACACACAAGAAGAAAAGTTTTACCATGTGAGACTTGACTCACAGAATAAAACCACCCCAGTCTAGTGGTGCTGGGAAGACTGGCCAAGTCAGGAAATGAGGAAGATCTACACCACCGTGCTGTTCACCACTGTCTACGTGGCTCCACTGTCCCTCATTGTCGTCATGTATGGAAGGATTGGGATTTCACTATTCAAGACCACAGTGCCCCACACAGGCAAGCGGAACCAGGAGCACTGGCACATGGTGTCTAAGAAGAAGCAGAAGATCATTAAGATGCTCCTGACAGTGGCTCTACTTTTCATGCTCTCCTGGCTGCCCCTGTGGACTCTGATGATGCTCTCAGACTATGCTGACCTTTCATCAAATGAGCTGCAGGTTATTAACATCTACATCTACCCTTTTGCGCACTGGATGGCCTTCTGAAACACCAGTGTCAACCCCGTCATTTATGGTTTCTTCAACGAGAATTTTCGCCATGGCTTCCAAGATGCTTTCCAGCTCCAGATCTGCCAAAACAGACCAAACCTCAAGGAAGCCTGTGCTCTAAAAGCTAAAAACAACATGGTCATAAACAGATCCAGTCAGCTTGCCCAGCAGCCTGCACTGCAAAACCCACATGGAGAAAATACACTATATAGAAATAGCACTAAAAACACCAAGCAGGAATTAATGAGGGAAGACTTGAGAGAAGCTACTGATGAGAATGAGATTTGAAAAGACACAGTGTGATGATCCTATCCCTTCTGGGGGTTGTGTGTTTAATTACCATAGCTTTCTGTGGCTTTGTACTTCAATTCGTTCCAGTGTTCTACAGAAACCATTTACTGAAAGCCCTCTCTGGCAAAAATTTAAATAATAAACAAATCTGGTTTCATCATCACAAAACCAGTCTTATGATGTGTAAAATATGTAGTGACTCATACAGCTGCCTGAAAATATCCATTTCTAAGAGTACTTTTCAAAGTTTGACCTTTCCCAGCTGAGCCTTTTGTATGTGAGTCAAAGGAATCAAGCATGCGTGTGTAAATGCATGTGACACAAACACCCATCTTCACCAAATGCTGATAGGTAGGCAGCACTTTGCATCTAAGTCCATTTTGTTAATTCTTCCTTTGATGTTGGATTTGAAAATTTAGACTAGACTTTACTGATCTGCTTATGTTTGTTTCTCTTTGTCCTTAATTTTTGAAGGAATGTATCAGATCACAAAGTTCTTTGCTACCACTTTTCTCATCTTTACCAGTTTATTTGGCTTAATCTAGAATCAAGATATTGTAGGTCCATGGGTATTTATGTCACAAGCGATTTCATTTAATGTGTTAGAACTGTAGTATCAAATAAAGGGACATACATTTCATTGTATTTAGAAGTTATTTTTATTTTAAAGAAGATTAAGTTGGAAAGCACATAAATTGTTCCATAAAAGTTACTGTTGGATTTTTAATATTTTCACAAAGTTTGAGCTGTAGCTGAGCCCATGTTTGTTACAGAGCAGATTCAGAACCCCAACTCGACCACCTTCTAATGGAATTACCACATAAGGCAGCAGATCCTTTAATAATGCCTCAGCTGGCTGAAGAATAACACTTCCTCTTTAATACACTTAGCCAGAGACATCACACAGTCACCATAAAACTCCCATAATGTACAGAGAGAGAGTGAACAGTCATCCCAAATTTCCTACTGGGTACAGCATTTAAATCAAGCACTCAAAGTTTAATAAATTAGTAGAATGGTTAAAAAGGAAACTGGCAACACTGGATTCCGTAATGTATTACAGTTATGTAATGATAATGGCTATAAATGCTAGCTTTCCTCCGGGGTGAGATAGTCCCCCAGGAAATTGGGAATTATAACAAAATAATTTGTTTGACAAATAAGAATAAATCCCTGGGCATATAACCATAAAATCTTTTCAAAAGGCCTTTGAGATACAATTGTTGAGTTTGCTTGAACTGAACTGCAGGGAATCAGCGTGCTACAAATGCCTAACTGTAGGGGCAAATTATCCAAATTTTGTGGTTGCCTCTCTCATAGTTTCTTGCCTTATATTAAATTTCTTTCTTCAAATCTGCTTCTTGATGATGAGAAAACTCATTTGAACTTGATTTGATTACTAAGTATATCATATATGAAAATTGTGTCAAGTTTCTTAGTACTTTATATTTTTTCTTCCAATCCTTGATCATTTTCCCAAAATATTTTTGGGAGTTTTTTTCTCCACATATTTTTAGGCTTATCAGTACCCAACAACAGGAAGAATAATATTTTAAAAATACAAAATTCAATGTCACTTTCCTGCCTCAAAACCATTAATAGTTGCATTTTTTTAATTAGGAAAAATCTAAAATGATTACTAAGTCTTACACGCTTTGTTTTCTCTGCCCCTCAGTGCCTCCACGCATCCTTCACACTGCCTATATGCCTATTCCTCCATCATCTGCCAGAATCTTTGCTGCTTCTGGGTTTTGAAGTTTTTCCTCCAAGACACCTGCCAATTCCCAACACCCTGCCCAGGCTGGCTCCTCTCCTCCTTCAGAGTTTAACTCAAACATCAACTGAGCATGGATTCTTTTCTCTATAGCAATTTTCACTGTCTTTTATTATCTGGAAAATTGTTTTATTTATCCACTTGTTTAATATCTGTATCCCTTATCCAAAAAGTAAACCCCAGGGCAAAGATTTTATCTTATTTCTCATTTTATCTCCAATTCCTAAGAAAGTGTTTGACATATCACAGACACATGATCAAGATATGCTGACCAAATTAATTAGTTGCAAATGTTTTCCAGTTTTAAAATCTTATAATGTATTTATGAATATGAATTATATTTTACTTTCAGATATTGAGGTAACTCAAGCTATAATAGAAATATCAGATACTTTCAAAAGCAGATGAAGTACAATGAAAATCATTTACCTTGCTGCCACCTAGTAATAGCTATCCTTCCTGTCACCTTGGGGCAAGTGTGCATGCTCTCTCTAATAAGCTTATGGTTCTGGGGCATGTGCCTTATAATCTTCTCATTTATCTAGTACAAGAACATGTTCCATGTTAAGAGTCTTCAAAATAATGTGAAATAGGAAGAAAAGGTCCAAAGGAGTAGGGAAAGTGGGAGGGGTAGGGGAAAGGAAACAAGGGAAAGGAAAAAATATGAGAAAAGGAAAAAATGGAAACAAAGTCTTTGTAAATAGGGAGGGGCGGAGGAGTCGAAGGGGAGGGCAGGGGAATGGGGAAAAATATAAGAACCAAGATACATCATGTAAAGGTACAAGTTCCCAATGATAAATGTAAATGTATTGTATACCTAAAATGTTCCAATAAAAGAATTTAAGGGAAAATAAGAAAAAGAAAGAGTCTTCAAAATATTTTATTCATTTCAATGCCATTCTATTATTTATTGAGTGTGACTAGAAATATGTTATTTCTTACATTTTGGTAAATGATGCAATTATGTACATCCTGAGTAATGTGGGTATATTTACAGCTATCTTGAAATGGACTTCCAAGAAACACAACTGCTTGGCCAAAATGCATGTAAATTTCTAAATATTTTAATATACATTGTCAAATATCTCTTAAAAATCTTTTCAAACATTGTACCTCTCTTGGTGGTGTAAGAAATTATTCATGCACACTGTGGATGCAATTCTATGAGTAATTTTTCTTTCCAGTTTTATAAATATGAACTTATTAAATCCCCATGTTTACTTTTTATTTCATTATTATATGGCTAAACATTAAAACTTAGTCTTTACTCGATTCATTTCTAATCATTCTCACTTGTATGCACTTGCATTTTCTCTTTAATTTCTCATTGATACCCTTTGCCTATATTTTAATTACATTATTTGATTTTTTTCCTCAGTGATTTATAAAATCATTTCCTAATTCAGAACCCTCATCCTTGTCTATCAGATAGATTTCAATACTTTACTCACTCAGCATGTGCTTAAGTGTGCATATTTACACACAGATGTAAGAGTACGTATAAGCTACTCTAACCAAGTTCCATAAAATTCATTGTCTTAAAGAAAAAATATCTTTGTATCTTTCTGATAAAATTATTTCTCTCTCAGTAACCCAGATTAGATACCATGTTCCTCCCTTCTCCAGGGTGCTCTTCCCCTAGAGCAGAGGTCAGCAGAACCCCACCTAATCTGGCGGCCACTTGTTTCGGTAATATTAATATTGAAATGCCATAGGTCTGCCTATTTTTTACATATTGTATACAACTTGTTTAGTGTGACAATAAAACAATTGAAGAGTTGAGATGGAGACCATGTAGTTCACAAAGGCTAAAATATTCACTACCTGAACAGTTCTGCCCTAGAGCATAATCCTTGTCTCCATGCTCACTGCTGACCAGTGAGCACATCCTGTAGAACATGGGAAGGGGAAAAAAGAGGAGCTTCAGAGTGATGGCTTGTCTTTAAAATCATTGGGAACCTGTGGGACACCCAGTCACTCCCACTCACACAGACACACCAATCTTCAAGGGTGCTGGGAAGTGTAGTATTTGTTGAGCACAAATATGTTCAAACTAAATTCTACTAAGGAAGAAAGAGAATGTATATTTAATGTTTAAATAGTTGAAACTATTACAAGCAGCTAAGTTAGATAGAAATTAATAGGGAGTCAGACAGGACTAGGCCCTAAAGGGAGTCAGTGCTTAGAACTGTGATGTGTGAGAACACATCACAACTGTGGCTGGAGGGGCATCCATCAAAGACCAGACCTCAAGATAAAGATGGAATGCCCAGGCCTACATCCTTCCCTCAGGGATAAGCAATAACTTGAGATGTCCTATGATTGCTATCACCTGGTCCGGTAAAGTTCAGATAAACATCAGTTATCCAGAGCATCCAGACCAATCCCTTCCCAAAAATGCCTGTGTTCTTTCCACAATGAATCTTGCCTACTCTCAACTTCCATTGTCCCTTGGAGATCATTCTTTGATTTCAGGGGACACAAACTCAGTGCAACTGACATCTAGCTGGTTGGAAGTTATATTTCTCCTATATCAAAAGAACTGTTTTTTCTGTTTTTGATATCAACCTTAGTTTTGACTTTAGAAAATACTTTCCAGTCTTTGCACAAGACATTTGCCTCTGAATTAGAAATAAGTAGACTCCTCTCTCAATGTCTGTGTTTGGATCCTTGGTGTCTCTAATTGCAAAAAAGAACTTAGATGTGATTATATTAACAATCTAGAGATGAGAGGTCATCCTGAATTGTCCAGGTAAGCCAGCTTGATCCTAAGGATACTTACCAGAAGAAGAGCAACGGAATAGAGAGAACAAATCCTGACTGTAAGGACTGGAGTAATCCAGGGTGAGAACACCAGACACTGCCTTTGGAGTAGAAGAGGATCCAAAGAAAAGAATGCAAGTGGCCTCTAGAAGACAGAAAATTCAAGAATCTAGACTTCTCTCTGAGGCTTTCAGAAAGAAAAACAGCCCTGTTGATTCTTTTATTTTAGCCAGTGAGAACTTTGTTACACTTGTAGCCCATAGGACTGTGAACCTGTTGTGCCCAGTTTGTGAAGTCCCAAATTCCACCAGGAAGCCGTTCTCGATGCAAGCACACACGAGGGTCATTTATTCAAGCTCGAGCAGGGGATCTCAACCGTCACCGACGCAGCGGATCAGAATTGAGAGCCCCGAATTTCAAATTAGCCGGGTTTTTATAGAGGTTACAGCAAGGTTTGGAGATTTTTTACTTAGCAGTTACATGCTTGGTTAACATTTAGCGAACATGAAGTGTACATTTTTGATTGGCTAGGTACATCGGGGGTTGAGGGTGGCTACATGTAGGTTTTACGAGGGAAAAGAGGGACAAAGGTTAGTGGTCGACTGTCACGTATTGATGGTCAGCAG